TTTTAAAGTCACTTTAAATTCTGGCTTGACTTTAACTGGAAATGGAATCACAGGTGCATTGCAGTTTTGAAAAGCAGGACTTTTCGGTAGAAATGATGTTCCACTGAATGTTGCTGGTGCTAGTCAAAATTGCTCCGTGGGCTTTGATGAAGCTATGTTGATTTGCCAGCCCCATGACTACACGGGGAAATGGACTGACAAAATTATACTGCTATAGTTATACTGCTAAATTTCCCCAGCTAGACACTCTTATGCTGGAATAACTGCTTTTTTCCTGATGTTGCTTATAACGCTTTGAAGGGTTTAAATTAAATCAGAAATAAAGCACTTTTATTTTGGAATAAGTATTCATATGGGGAGACTGATCAGATTATGCTGGTAAATTTTCTCATATAGATAAAACCTAAGGAATCTCATCTGCAATTCAACTGAGCTTAGCTATGCCCACCCCTTAAAATGATCACCTAGGATTTGTCTACATAAAAAAAAAAAAAACCTCTGTAACTGCATGGTTATATCACTATAAAGGAGCTTTTACCACAACAGTTTATTCCAATGAGTGATGGTGGAATAAACTATGTCAATATAACTACATCCACACTAGGGCCTGTACAGGTCTAATAACAGCGGAAGGAATTGGAAGTGACTCCTTCAACTGAAAAAAATCTGTACAAAAAAGGAACTTAGGGGTGTGTCTAGACTATGGAGCTTTTACGAAAAAAGTGGCCTTTTTTGAAAAAACTTCACCCTGCATTTAGACTGCTGTCGCATTCTTTTGAAATTATATCGAAAGAATGCAGCAGTTTTTTCGATATTGGTAAATATACTTTTACAAGGAAGAACACCTTTTTTCAAAAAGAGCTCTTTCGAAAAAAGGCGTTCTTGAACGTAAACAGGGCTTTTTTCGAAAGAGAGCGTCCAGATTGCCTGGGTGCTCTCTTTCGAAAAAGCAGATCGCTTTTTTGAAAGTCTTGTGACTGTCTAGACGATCTCTTTCGAAAGAGGCTTGTAGTCTAGATGTACCCTAGGTGACATACTAATGAGGGGCATGCCAGATTCCCCAACCTCTCTCTTTCAGCACCATGAAGATGCTTATCCAGGTCATGCTACAGCTCCGGACAAAACCATTTATGTTAAAGAACAGAAGTCGTGCCCTATTTATCCACCCCAAGAGCCTAAAGAAGGAAGGCCCAGCTTTTCAAAAAGGGTAAGGTGTTTGGGGCCTACATAGCTTTGAGGATCTAGGTCCAATCACTCTTTTGCCAATTTGAGTCCAACTTTCATTAGGACTTGTGTGGAGTCTTCTAGTATCCTAGCCTTTCCCTAGCACTCACAAGTTTAGTTCCCGCAGGACCTCAAAGTGGTTCCAGTGCATCTGTAGGTGCTAACTTGGTACCATAACAACTTGGCAAAATTAATGGCAGTGAGATCCCATCAAACTGGCAGGATGGAATTAGAATGTGCACGCTCAGTGGTAGTGGAGATAGGCATCTGCCAATGCCCAGCCAACCACGTTATTGCCCAAAAGGAGCTACAGGCTAACACAGGCACAAGGAACAAACATTATGCACAACAATATGAGAATGGCACGATTGTTGGCATGATAACTGGGCACAGGAAAACACACAACTACGTAAATTAACATTGCAGCTGCTGTTGATAAAAAGTGACTGGGGCCTTAAGGGTTATCTACCAAAAACTCAACCTCTTTTTGTGATTGCACACTAGAATGCCAGTGAACACACCGGGGAGTCTGCAGGGAACTGGCATTATAATGCCTATGACCACTTCTTTCACACACGGAAGCTCAGATCTAAGCTTTAATTCCCATCGGTGGATTGGCTGGTCTCTAGGACAGTGGTTCCCAAACTGCGGGGCATACCCCTGAATGTTAAGATGATTCAAAAGGGGCTCAGGCCCGCCCCAGTGGAGGTGGGGAGGCGGAGTACCCCTCCGTCCCGCTTTGACTCCAGCCATAGCACCAACCACTGGCCCCAGCTAGCTCTGCCCTCCTTTCCACTCTGCCTCTACCCTCAGCTCCTCTCAGCTGAGCCAACTGTGCAACAGTGGAAAGGGGGCAGACATCCCCCCACATGATCAAATAAATCTCCATGATGTTGTCAACATTAAAACACCTGCGCCTGAAAATGCCCATGAATAGTTCTACTCATAGGAACAGTCCCATAGATTCCCATAAGTCTACTCAGGTGAGTTAAAGCCATTCTTGAGCATAAATGCCATACGATCAGGACTTCTGTCCACTACATCTGTTGAAATATTTCAGGTGCTAATTACAGTATAACTATAAGTTCCGAACCTAACTCAGTGCCGTTTAGACTCCAAAGCAACAACACACTTAAGCGTGTGACTTAGACGTTCAAAGGGCTTTACTGAGTTGTGGCCAAAAACAGAAAGATGCAGTTCAACACCATCGCAACCTGCTGCTTTCAGAGAGCCTTTGGAGAGGCAGCGTCAAAGGAGTGGGAAAGTGTTTTATTAAGCTGCATGGGCACCTCTGTGAGAAGGCGTTAGCTTTGGCTAGTCTTTGACAGCTGCTTCTGGGCCTTGCTCTGAGATGGCGGAAGTCATAACAACCGGAACAAACAGAGAAGAGGGAGGTTGGAAAAAGTGTTTAAAAATAAAATTGTTCTCCAGGTGCGAGATTGTTTGGTTTGCTTCAACACCAATTTCCACGCTACAGCGTTGCTCAGAGAGGAGCCTTTAAGTACAACCCTTCGTCTCAGTAGATAATCAGTGACTTCATAAGCTGGTAGACATACACGGAGGACAGCACAATTACGTGTGGGCACGTTTTATTCTCTCGATGCACTCGCACATTTTTTTCTGCTCAACAGCAAAAAGCTTTATTGATTCAAAACTTTTATCTTCTCTCCCCCCCCCTTTTTTCCCATTTGTGTAGTTCCCCCCCTTTTTCTTTCCAATCACAGCCTTATTTATGCTTTGAGTTCCAAATTTTCCTAGAAGAAGCTAGTTGACAATTCAATCAAAAAGGTATTTTTTTTCCTCCCCCAGAACCCTATAAATTACATGCAAAACATTGTACATAGAGATTAAATAATATCAAAATGCAAATACAGATCAGGTGCACTTTAAGCTGGATTCTAGAATATGGCAAACACACCAGGGTACATATTGCTTTGAAACCACCATTGTTTTTAATTGTCATGCATACCACATAATATTCAGTCTTTTATTTTGTCTTTTTTTTAATACAAAAATACCAGTGCTTATTATACTAGTTACTGAAAAAAAGAAACTCAAATTCAAACCTGCGTGCTCTTTTCAAAAGAAATATTTTGGTTTTATTGGTGTTTGTTTTTTTTAAAAGAAAGTCAGATAAATATATATACACACAATGTGTATATTTTTGAAGTTGTATATATATTTATTTCGGGGTAGGAAATAAACTAAAGGCCGTTTTAGCCATGGACTTTGCTGAAAGGCTAATGAACTCAACACCCCAACCATAGCCCCCTTTTTGGGGAGGCCAGCAGGGACATCAGAGGCATAAAGCACAAGAGGTAAGACAGCCAGTAAGATGAGATGGGCAGAATTATTGACAAGGAACAGGGGAAAGAGACAACCACTAACAGGACAGCAAAAGCTACAAAGCAGTATTGTATTTGACCCATAAATTCCAGGTAAGCCTGAAGGAGTTAGGGTCAGTTATGATATCAGGCCAAAGTGATATGCTTCTCAGCTATAGTTAGCTTGTTCTTCGCTCAGCAAGAGATACTGCAGGGAGATGTGTGGGGGGAGTGAAACACTCAAGAGTGCATTTCAGGAGATCCCGATGGATAGCTCAGCCGATTGGTGAACTCACAAGGAGGTGGGACAGCAGAAGATGAAGTCATCCAAGACTTTCTCCTGGCACAAATGGAACCTACCATCACCCTTCCTCTCCTCTTGGGGCCGTAGCTCCCAGAGACAACTGTCCAAAGCCATTTGCCCAAAACACATGTGAAGGCAGAAACTGGGGACACATGAAAAGCAAAGGCCTCGACTGTTGAAAAAGTTAGTCCCTGCCTGGTGGAAGGCTGGAAGAAGCCACTCTAGTAACTGATCTTTCTGAAGATCTCTTCCTCAGAGATCCAAATCCAGAGCACACTGAAGGCCATGGGAGTCTGCAATGGACTTGGAATTGCTTCTTCCCTGGTGTGATCCAGAGTTACACCTGCCACAAATTGTCCCTGCTCCTCACAGAGAAAGCTTTGAGATGAGGGACAGACTGAACATGTATCAAAGGATGTATTCTCCTCTCCCCCAGCTCATTTATTTTCACAGCTACCCATGGCTAAAATTCAGTTTAGTATTTTTCCTTTTGGAGTTTTTTTTCTTGTTTTGTTTTAACTTTTCCCTTAAAAACTTATTGCACAAAACCTTGGAAAATTAAAGTCAGATCCCTGTGCAAATAAATGTACCCCCCAATGATGAAAACTCCTAAAAATGGATATTCACCAATGCACACAGGAAGTGATGTAATATCTTTGGTACCAATCTGCCAATTTATTTAACATAACAAAACAGACCTTACTATTCAGAATTGGATTCAAAATTGTTTAGAGTGTTTTAACAACACAGCATTCCAAGGCAAGTTAACACGTATCACAGGAGATTACTTCATTTCCTGTCTGACATGGCACTATCTGTTTAATTCTCCCCCCACTCATTCTGTTGGCAGTAAAAAATTAAATAAAAATCCCTCCATCTTTCAAGGCATGTTGCAAGTAATTCCAAGAAATTCATTTAGGCTACCATGCCTTTTCCACTGAAAGCAACATCTCTTTTTCCTCCCCATTTTAAGTTTCCTCAATAACTTAAGCCATAGTTAGCTGCTGCCAGTTTAATCACTGAAACTAACTAGAAAAAAATATTTGACATAAAAAAGTATGCACAATAAATGCTTATACTTTAAGCAACCAGCCATACCAACAAAATTTATATAAAAAACATTTCTGTGTAATCCAACTAACTTTTAGTACAAAGATGGCTGCTCAGAGAAAGGAAGTTGATTGGAGTCTGTCCAATCATTAAGTTACCTGTCACCTTAAACTGCCTGTCATGTGATCACATTCCATTGCAGACACATGACTTACAGCTTTGTTTTTTTCCTTTAAACAAAATACATATGGCTGACTTAAAAATATCAGTTTCTGATCTAAAGAAAACTATATTTTTTGCATAATATTTATATATAATTATTTCCCCCCTCCTATGACTGAAACTAGAATGACAACAACAAAAAATAAATGGACTAAAAAGGTAGACCAGACCCTCATGGTAACCTCCCAGTTGCAGACACTCTGGGAGTGACTTTTTAAGCGCCTCCAAAGTTTTCCCCGCCTCCCCCCAAAGTTTTTTTTTTTTTAAACAGGTCTGAGGTAATAAAAATATCAAAGAAACAAAATCAGTGTCCCCCAAAAGTATTTAATAAATATTTATGTAAGCGCTTAAGAACACCGTATTTTCATCTGTTGTATTTTTTTGCAAGTTTTTAAAATAGAAAAATGATCTTTTAAGCAATGTAAGCTTTAGAACAGAAAAACAAAAATCCTTTTCTCTTTCCCATCAGATAGGTCATGTAAGAGACCAAGAAACAGCTGTATTTTCCCCTTAATATTGCCCCCCCACACTATAGCTCACATGAAGAATGAAAGGAATGAAGGAAGCAGGTGGGTTTTTCCTGGATGAAAAGAGTGGGCTTTGATTTGCAATTAAGATGCACAGTGGCTGTGATTTCTTCTTAGTATTGGCAGTTTGTGGAGCCTACCATCCCTTCCTCTTTACCAGCTTTGGAGCAGAAGACCCTGCAAGGACCTTTCATCGGTCTACCCTGAACACAGGATGGAATGAAGAGACCCAGCCCCAGGGCATGAGTCAGTGTTGGGTTTAAAAAAAAAAATCTTTGTTGTTGTTGTTAAGGAACACTTATTTCTTGGCAAAGTACCGGAATTCCACGTGGCAGACGGTGCTTCGGGCAGTGCTTGGACAAGGCACGGGAGTTTTCACTGTGCGTTCTTAAAAAAAACCTCATCATCCACTTACACATTTCTGCTTGTTGGGAAGGAGGCCCGACCGTAGCCCCATCCCATTCTTGTCATAAATCCTTTCATACAGCTAGTTGCAACTGGATTCTCTTTGCTTCTAGGTCCAGCTTTTAATTGAGTAAGTGTTGGAGAAGAGGGCGAAGAAGGTAACCTACAGCATTTTTGAGGCCAGGTCTACACTAGGAGACAATTTTGAATTTTGACTTCTGGGCACCCTATTTTACAAATCTGAAGTTCTGTGTTCTCAGAAGTTCTGTGATTCTTCTGGGGAAGAATCGAACATAGTCCGAGGCAGGCTCTGTTAACGTGGTTGCGTTACCTCAGACTCGAACCTCAAGAAGCACTCTGTGGGCGGCCTCTCAGAGGCCAATTAGTTCGAATTAGCGGCACCGGAGCATCCACACTAACGTTATTTTGGACTTACAAGTTCGGGACTAGAGTTATTCCTCATGGAAGGCAGGACTACAGAGTTTGAATTCCGTGGCCCCAGAATAAAGGACTTGGTAGTGTGGATGCACTGCTTACAAAATCAACTCTGGGGGGGTTAATTTGGACTAAGGTCCTAGTGTTGACCAGGCCTCAGTGACACCAACCTAGGGCCAAAGAGAGGCAGAAAAGGAGCCAGTGAAATAAACAGGAGGTGCAGGCATCTCCCATGGTTCATGATTTGGCCCTTTCTTGTCTTCACACGTGAGTTTGCTCAAAACTATTTCAACTGAGTGGCTTCCCAGATGACCAAAAGCTGAAGCCCAGACTTCTCACCCTGCCACAGCCTAAACGTCAGGGGACAAACTTAAAACAAAAAAGACAAAAGAGAGACAACAATAATTAGCAAAGGACACCTGGAACGGATTTCTCCAGAGTAAGTCACATTGGCTACGACCTTAGCTTCACGGATTATCATTTCTTGCATCTGTTTGTAGGTGCCACAAGATCTCAGCAAGATGGCAGGCAACTTTGGGTCTAACGTGGAGAGGGAACCTTTGTAAGAATGGAGAGTGGGGCAAAACCTAGCTATCGGCCTCCTTTGAAGTTCTCATGAAGCCTCCCAGGAATAAGACAGCCATGTTACAGGAGAATGGCTATTTGCCAACAGCTTCATCCAACCCTAGAAACACACAGACAGGACAATTCCATCATGAGACTGGTATGTACATTGATGGGATTGTGCACATACGGCCTCTGCAAATATGACCTCCCCTCCTGCCGTTTCTCTTTTCTCTGTCCTAAGAACCCAGCAGGGATAGGTAGCCTTAAGTTGCCCCAGCTGTTTCACCAGCAGCCGGCCCGTGGTTCCCATCCAGACATTGCCACTACTTTGCGAAGGATGTCCAGGCTCTGCAGTACACACATGGCATGTTCTTTGGGATGAACCTTAGCTGCTGATTGCTCGGCTCCAGGGGCCGAGGAATATTTAATTTGGCAGCATAAAAAAAACGCACAAAACCACCTCTGCTTCACCAACGTGGTTCAGAAACGACCTGCTATTCAATGCAGCACGACTCTCGCGGACCATCAAAATCTTGCCGACGGACAGCACAACAGTTCAAGAGCAAAAAGGTGCATTTAAAAAAGAAATCCACAGAAAGTAAGACTTAGTATTTCCAGTCATGGCAGTGCTTGGAGAACCACCCTAGCTGTGCGGCAACCTCTCTTGCGGGGCTTTGTAACAAAGCAGGGTCTTTTCCAAATCACATCTTAGCCAACATATTTAAGACTCTTAAATCACTCGCCTCCTTTGTTTTTAATCACAGTTAGCATGTTGGAAACAGAGGGAGAGACAAATGTGAAGACAGAAAAATAGTAAAGGTTAGGTACCATGTTTTTCAAGGTGGAAGACTGGTTAGCACGCTTTAACCATCAGAGTCTCCGCAGATCATACCTCTTTGTTTTTTCCTTCCTTTCCTTCTCTTTAACACAACTCAATTTTTTCACCCTGTTCAGTTTTTAAATCTCCCGTCCTCCCTCCTTGTGTGACATTATCAGGGGTCAAATCCCACAAACAAAAAAGACTCCCCAAGTCACTCCACATACACCCGCAGATGGAGAGCCTTTGTGTAAGACTATTTAAGATAATCTGAACCTTTTCTTTGAACATGCATTTTTCAAAATGGAAAAAAAAAAATCCTATGGACACACGGAACCCGACTCAAGGAGAAGAAATAGCAACTTGACTGTTTCCCACCTGGGTGAGTACCTACTACAAATTGCTCCCTCTCCTCTCCCCAACCCACGGTACTCTGGTTCCTGCCACTAAATCATAAAAAGGAGAACAAAATAGTATACATATGAGCAGTTGACATGAAGTGACCGCTCTGCGATATCAGTTATCGGTGCTGATATCACACGGGACTTGAGGTGAAGGACGTGAAGGGGAGGGGTCAAAGTTCAAAGGTCAAACCGATGATTCCAAGCTGTCTAAGGGGGTTTCAGACTCCGGGACGGTGTCCTCGGCTAGATTGCTGTCCACCGCATTGTTATTTTGGTTGAGGGAGAGGGATTCACCTGGGCTACCCCCACCTTGGTTTTTGAGTCCGTCAGTCTTGGAGTCTTCTTCTGCGCTGTCGAGGAAGGGGGTTCGAGGCTCATCTTCCTCCAGGATGAACTCTGGATGAGTCATGAAGTTATGAATGGAGCTTCTGGATTCGGGTTTCTTGAGGCCTTCATAGAGAGAGCTACGGAACGCATTCACCACTTTGATCTGTCAGGAGGTTGGGGTGAAGGGTGGGGGATAAACAGAGAAAAGGTGAGAGGCGGCCATGGGAAGATCTCAGGGGCTTCAGGAGAAAAATAAATAAGTAAATAAATTAAATAAAGACAACACCACCACTACAAACAACACTGAACAAAACTAAAAAAAATAAAAAAACTATGAAAAAACTAGGATGGCCACAGAGATCAAATTCAGGCACTAGGTGTGTGATGGAGTAACCAACTATGGGGTGACTTCAGAAGCTGCAAGAAAAGACACAACATTCCCAAACAGATCACTTTGAAATGAATGGAAAATCAAAATGCATTAGTTTGGGTGCGTGTGGGCGGGCGCGTGCACACGCTTCTGTGCATTTAACAAAAAGACAAAAAAGTAGAAGTATAACTCAAAAGAAAGGTGGGTTAGACACACACACACACACACACAGTGATTTGGTTTCTAGGTCCATGGGAAGCAGTGCATTTTTATGGGCTGGTTTATGTTTAACCTACAAAAAGGAATCGGTTTAAAGGTGTCCTGGCTTTCTCAACGTCGCATGGTATGGCAGATCCAAGCAGATGCCACGAACCACAAAACATACCCCAGCCGTGCATGCAAGAAGGAAACCAAAGCTGTGAGAGTTTCCACATTGTAGTCTAGATTCCGGTCAGGAGCTTTGGATCTTAGCCTGGGCTAACACGTTTAAGGGCAGCATTTCCAAAAGCAGCCACTGGTTTCTGGTGCCCACCTTGACATGGGTCAGACCTGGCTTTCCAGAGATGCTAGGTGCCCCCAGCTCCCGTGTGCTCCTACAAACAGTCATGGGGTGCTCAGCACATCTGAAAATTAGGACAGGATTTATACAGGAACCTAAGGCATCTCGTTCACAAGTTCCTCTAGAAAATCCAAGCCTCAAAGCCGACAGTTCTCTCACCCAACCCTGCAGTCAAGTCACAGTTTGTTCGGTCACAGCTTAAAAGTGCAATTCACGTGTTCAAACGCACAAAGGGGAAGCAGGCAGCACCCGGGTAACACTGCTTGGTGATGGTGACTTCTCCACCTGCTGGGACATTGCAGGTTTCCTGGTGAGTCACAGTCACCCCAGATACCAAACCCGCAAAACCACAGGTGTGAGTGTGATGTAGGCCACTCCATTGCAGCCAACGCACATACACTGGGTACGGAAGATCACATCCATTCCCATGAGTGATTTGGATGCCAGGAACACTCAGTGCAGATGCATTTTCAACATCCAGTGTATCCATTTAAATTGATTCCGTACGGCATTGACACAAAACCGGAATCACTGTTCCACACCCTCAGAGCTCTGCTAAAAGCCCTGGTCTACACTAGGGAGTGATTTTGAAATAACCCCCTTTATTTCAAACTAATAAGCGGAGCATCCACACTACCAAGCCCGCTATTTCAAAATAAGGGGCTGGTTATGTTGAAATCTGTCCTCCTGCTTTCAGGGAATAACGCCCATTTCGAAATTGTTATTAGCCGTAGTGTGGACGCACCGCTGCCGCTATTTCCAAATAACGTCTCCTCAGAGGTATTCGAACTAATGACTCCCCAGTGCTTCCTGGGGCTCTAAGTTGAGGTAGCGCCTTCACAGTCAACGGAGCCTGCTTCGGACTCATTTCAAGGCTTCCCCATTGTGGGGACATGCTCTTTCCATTTTGTTATTTTGGGAGTTATTTTTTCGAATCTAGTTATTTCAAAATAATTTCCTACTGGAGACACGCTCAAAGTGTTATCTGGAGCCACGTCACACCCAGGCTGTGCTTTTGCAAAATAAAATGCTACCCACCCGTCTCCCCTTCTCTCTCCCACACCAAATATTTCTAATGAACCAGCAGCCACATTCCTCTGTCACCAGCCTCACACGGTATCACCTTGCTTGACTTACTCCTCTCCACAGCTCCCAATCTTCTACAGCGATGGGCAATCTAGGCCAGCGAGTGAGCCGCAGGAGTGGCCCTCCATCTCAGGGGGCCACAAGATTGTCGTCACTAAGACGGCCTCCCAGGAGAGGGCAGTGTTGCTCACTGCGCCTGCACACCTAGAATTTGCGGGCCGTGTCGATCAAACCGTAGCAATGCTGTGATTGGATGCAGAGGGGGCACCCGGCTCTCCCAGCCAGCACTGTGAGCAGCCAGCGTGCACCTCCTGTCACGCGCCCTTGATTTATGTGTGTGTCACTTGAACAAAATGGCTGGAGGACCACCCACAGAACCCCGGTGGGCCACCACTACTCTAGAGAGGGTCACAGAAGTGCAGCCACTGGTCTAGAGTAGAAACCAGTCCCTCAGCCCTCACTGAACATTACATTCCGAAGATGTTGGTTATCATCCCATTCCACTTGTGACCAGCCGCCACCTTTGGAGTTTGTTTCTTCCCTCAGCGAGTGGAGCGGGAGATCTAATCCAGTCTATGCACTGGATGAAAACTGAGCCGATTCAGTTTTTTACCAAGGAAAAAAAAATCTCGCGACAAAGGGAGTCGTCCTGAGTGAACCTCTCTCTAGCAGCAGTTACAGTCACACACAATCTCTCTGGAGGATAAGTATTATGGGGTGGCCCTGGCTGAGGGGACGGGGGAAGCATTTGGCTCCAAATTGCATCACTCAGATTTTGGGGGCTAAAGGGACCATCCTCTAGCCACCCCTCCTGCATAAATTCCTCCATGAAAATATCACCCAGTGATCCCTGCTGCAGGGAACGGTTACCAACTCCGACGTACTCAAGTCACTGCTTTATATGCCCCTTGAACATTCCCCGCCGGCAGGAGACAGCTGAGCTGTTACCCAGGGCTGGCCTTACCATGAGGCGAACTGAGGCGGCTGCCTCAGGTGCCAGACGGTGGGGGAGAGGGGGGAGGCGCCAATAGGACCCAGAGTGTAGAAAATTGTGTCTGCTGCTGGTGCATAGGTAGGTAGCAGAGCAGTCCTATGAGAGGAGTAGAACAGGAAGAAGGCAGAATTGAGACCTTTCAAAGTTTTGGCCCAAGTGAGGGGACATGGAGGCGTCATTTGAGCTCCCCGCTTCAGGTGCCAAAATGTTGTGGGCCTTTACCCAGCCCTGAGTCGCCTTCGCCCACTGCTTGGAGCTCACCATCTGAACAGTTAGCTTCGCCTACCCACTTTCCGATGCTCTTAGTCCTCTAGTTCCTAGACCAGCCCGGGATGGGTTGTAGGGAGCAGTTTAGTCATGCTCTGACACCTGTGAAAATGAACACGCCTGCGGGAACTCCGGGCTTCAGCCCGCACCACTATGCTACACCAGCCTCCAGCGTCTCTCAACACTCACCCTGCGTCCCAGCTCAATGGGCAGAAAGCAAAGGAGGAGGAGTGGCAGGAGAAACAGTCGACTAAGTTCTCCACTCGCAAAGCCTTCACACAAACTGCTTCTTCACGGTACCTTGGAGAAAAGGCCACCGGATCCTGGTTATTCTGGGAAATCAGGAGGGGACACTACTCCCCCTCTCCCGGGTTAAACAGCTTCTTTGGTTATCATATCACCACCAAACTGCAGACACCAGCCAAAACCCCTCCTCAGGATAAAAGAATTCCTCAAAGGTCTTTGGTGTCAGCACGGCCACAGCATGCCAGTATTCACAAAGCATAGAAAACAAGGCATTATTCCAAGGGAAGCTGGAGATGAGACCTCCCCGCCCAACTTTACTGCTTCACAAGTCAACCTGTAGAATGCCCGTGTGTCCTACTTTAACAGGGACATCCTTTGGGGCTGGCATCTCCTCCCCTCATGAAGTGATGACGGTGCCCCCAAGAATCCAGGATGATGGATGGATCAGCCTCATTGACACCCGCCTGATGAGGGCTTTGAAAGCCAAAAGCATTGCATCTATAAAAGTAAAACGAGCATATCCCCGTGTCGCATAAGGACAGACAGACAAGCACACAACACTCTGGCTTGCAGAGCCAGAAGACAGGCACGACACAGATCCGGGGAAGGCTTGAGTGTCCACCTTCACAGCGGGGAGCCATGTGGCCTGACCTGCGAAAAGGGAAGGTTACATCTGGGTGGACAACACTGGGGCAGCTGGAAGTCAAAGCCAACTCTCACCAGGCCATTTCTGCGATCAACCGATTGGGCTAAGTAGGTCTAGAAACCCAGATGCTTGGGGGTTCCCTCCCAGTTGAGCAATATGGTATCGCCACTTTCTTTCTCTTTTAACTCCTGTAGCAATGAAGGGTACCACTAAGCTATAGAGGAAGAGTAAGGCAGAGCTGGAAAAGACCTAGGCCAAAATTAAAAAGAAAGGCAGCTATGACTTTTGAGCATCCTGCTTAATGTCCAGAGTCATTGCTGACAATGGGGGACTCACCTTACTAGGGTTGCCAGATACCTTCACAAAAAATCCCGAACAGGGAAAAATTGGTTGAGGAAATAAAAAGGGAGACCAAACTTGTTAAGCGAAAAAAAAGGAGAACAAACTTGTTAAGAAAAAAAAAAAAGAGAGAGAGAGAGAGAGAGAGGTTGTTGCATCTTTAAATTACCGTGCTCCTTGCTCCCCGCCCTCGCAGACGACGCTGGCCACTGCATCTTTAAATTACCGTGTTCCTTGCTCCCCGCCCTCGCAGACGACGCTGGCCATCTTTTTGAGGAAAAAAGGCCGCTGCGCCTTTAAATTACCATGCTCCTCACTTCCCCTGCCCTCACAGACGACACTGGCCTTCCGTATGAGGAAAACAGAAAATATCGGACATTTTGCATGTGTTACCATGCTCCTCACTCCCCCCGCCCTCACAGATGACACTGGCCTTCCGTATGAGGAAAACAGAAAATATCGGACATTTTGCATGTCCAGTATTCTCTATGTTTTTTTACCGGATGGAAGGCCAAAATATCGAACTGTCCAGGTGAAAACTGGACACCTGGCAACCCTACTGACCTTACACCTCCAAAAAAGAGCACAAAAGGGAGATATGAGTAGATTCTACTGGAAAGTTTTGGCCTTACTGCTTACCAGAATACTAGATCAGTCTTTCAACCTTGTATGGCATCATACCTGTATATTATTCCCCTCTCAGTCATGATACAAAGCAATTAGAATATTTCATGTTACTCCTCCTCCTAACTTTTAGGTGTCCTTTTTTGAGGGAGTTTGTTGTGCTAGCATGACTGCCAAAAACACCAACTTCTTGGGAGCTGGAAATCACACCCAAAATAAAATAAAGTAAACCCACGCCGCTGTTAAGTGCACACTCGGATAACCCCAGAGATGGGCAATCGACACAGAGCTCACAGGAATACTCACTGCACCACCGCAAAGCGCAAAAAACAAAAAACCAGCCAGCAAACCAAGAATGACAAATCTGCAGGAAACGATGAATGCTTAGAAATGATCAAAGCAGCCCAAGGGATTTAGACACCTGTTCCATTCGTCATGTGGCTAAATCCTCTAGACTGCTTGGGAAAAAAAATCCATGTGTGACAGTAAAGCTGGTGGAATCTCTTCCTCCACAAACAGCACGGTACTTGGTCTTCCTACCATGAATAGATCACCTGAAAAGATTTATCGGTCTACTCCGCCCCTTTAATGAACACAACTGCTCCTTTAGGTCAGACAGAAAAGACTCATGCCTTAAGATGCAAAGTTCCTGCGCTCTAACTATGCAGGTACTGTCCCATCCAGGAGCATAATTACAACTGGTTAGCCCAGATGTCCATGTGTGTTTTTTGGTTTCTCTAACATTTTGGTTCCTCCATTCAGATTGTACAGGGCATATTTTGTTGCCTTTCGTCATGCAGGTCTTGTTATTTCTCAACCTCATCATCATAAGAAGCAGAACCCCCACAAAACCAATGCAAATTCAGTCTTGTTATGAAAGGATCTCTGGGTAGGAAGACAAGCAAAGGAGGAACAAGTTAGGGATGGGTTCCCGAAACTGGATAAAATAAAAAATCCATCCAAACCCTGGGTCCTGACTGGAACCACATCTCCAAGGGGTGAAACATTGCACTGGCTTTTTTTTTCCTCACTGTGTTTTGTTTCCAAGCATCTACTCAGCCCTTCTGGACTCAGGAGCAAGTTCAGAAAAACGGCCAGAAATGTTGTTCTTGGTATTCCCAGCCCACCTGGAAGCAGGATTTCTGATGTTCTTTGCAAGTAAAATCCCACTGAATCAGTTAAATATTATGTTTAACGGTTTAAATGGGGGTGGGCTGGTGGCCACTCCAGCCCACCTGGGCCACCGGTTAACCTTTGACTTCCCTGTTTGCAAGAAAGCCTTTCGGTGCAACGTTACCCACCTTTGCCTCAAGTTTGGCTCAAGCATCTGAACTTAACCAGATGACCCTCCACCTTCCCAATTCCAAGCTGCAGGAAGTTCCCATGCAGCTCTTTGCAAACATAAGCCAAAAGCTTTGCATAGACTCCAGCCACTCCTATGGAATGCAGACACAGTGGGTATGTCTAGACTACTTGCCTCTGTCGCCAGAGGCATGTAGATTAGGGATGTTTACCGGGGCGGTCGACAAAGGGCTTTGATGTCGACCGCCGAGCGTCCAGACTACAGCGCTGTGCTGACAAACAGCTGATCGGCACAGCGCGGCAGCCATTTTAATTTAAACGAAGTGGCGATTATTTAAATTGCCGCTTCATTTTCCTATGCCGGGTAGCCTAATCTACATGCCTCTGGCGACAGAGGCATGTAATCTAGACATACCCCCAAAGTGGCATGTTAATGTCATGTTTCAATTTTTCATCTGAAATGCTCCATGAACACCCATCTTTCATGTCCAGAACAAGAACCTGCATTTCCTCTTGGTTCCAAATTGTCACAGCATCTCAAGCATCATTTATACCAGGTGGGGGGTTGCCCCAATTCCAGCCCCTAGAGGAAGTGCACCCTGGCAAACACATAGGTAAAGCAATCACTTGTACTGGCGGAATTCCATGCTCCATGAAACTGAGGTAAACGGCGCCAGTGCAAAGTGTGGCTCACAGTGCTTAACCCTGTTCACACTAGGGGCTCAGTGGAGGCTCGGACCCTGACAGCTGTAATCAGGCAACATTCCCAATGGAGTCAAAGCCTAAATCTATAAGCCACCAGCTGTGAGTCACTCGTGGGATCTCCCCTTTGTTACATCACTACCCAACAGGAACACAGCATTCAGGACTGCCGAGATCTAGCACAGTAGGACTTTCCACCAGGAAGTAATAAAGGGAAGACAGAGGGGCTCAGTTAATCGGTATTCAGGTCAACAGTTTTAAGAAAGAGAGAGAGAGCAGCAGAAAGGAAATAGAGCCAAGTCGAGATAAAAATCGAGGGCACGATTAGCCACCTGGTTTAGCTTTTGGGAAAGGGGTTATCTGGTAGGGCTCATGCTAGCCTTGCAAATTATCGATTCCCTCCTGCAATCAAATAGCTCACCAATCCATGAGTATAAATGGTGGTTTGGTCGGACACCCCCAAATCCACTGTGTTTCTCTCCCTTTGCTGGCTCTTTACCAGGTGGTTAAAAATGTATTAATCATTATTCCCCCCAAATGAGCACACTGCCTCGTGAGAAAGTCGTTATCATTATGCTGGTGCATAGCAGCAGAAGTAAACGAGTCAGCCGTGCTCCCTCCAAAACAATTGGGGTTAAAACAGAAACAAAGACCAGGGATTTTTTCCCCTACTCTTTCGCGTGAAACATGTATTGGGAACAGATGAGCTTGGAAGTTATTAACGGAAATAGTCAAGGATCTTTCTCTCATAAAGGAGAACAAGGACTATGGTGCAATTAACATAGCAAGCCATTTTCTGGAGGAAAAAAAACTAGACAGATTATTCATGGCGTGGCAAGGACTTGCAGGGAAATGATTCACACATACTCACAGGAGCATGACACAGCTCAACTGGAATAGGGAAGACTTACCTAAACAAAAACAAGAAGAAAATCTATACGTTCCTTGGCTGACAATCTGCCTCTGCTGAGTAGCCAAACTCCGTGACTTTAGCAAGGCCAGAATTTCTCCCACTTTTTTTTGTTTTTTTTTGTTTTTAAATAAAAGGGCTATATTTTCAAACTTGTAACCTAAATTTGCGAAGGGGTTGGAGGTCTATTGAAAGTGCCGTATCAGGACCAGGCATTGTGAACTGTGCAGCGCAGCGTGTTCCATGCCAGGCGTTTCCACATGCTAGAGGACCATGGCATACGTTAAAAAGGTTTTAAATCAGCTGTCCAGAAAACCTAATTTGCACATATTGGGTGAAATTCAGCCCAGTGCAAAGGGCCCCCCGCAGGCCTTCATGTCCCATGTCGGGTCCCCAGTTCAGGAAAGCAGTTGGCCACGTGCTTCCTATGCAGGGACATTGTTCGGTTATAACCCAGGCAGTGCATTTTCGAGGTGATTTGTTCCCCGCCTCAGACAAAACCGGGCGTGGTTTTGTTGGGGATCAGACGCCGTCATTAAGGGCATGCTTCCCCCCCCCCACCACTTCAGCATGGCCTCACAAGCACTGTGCATGCAAGGTCACGCTGGTAGTGGCAGGGCAGCAAGCTCCTCAAAATGGCAGCCTCCCGTGTGGCATGGCCTCTCCCACACCACTCTCCAAATGCAATGAAGTCCTGTTGGCCTGGGACTTTTGATCGGGCCTTGGAAGGGGCCCTTAAGCGGCGATTCTCTGCGCGGGGCCAAAGGTCACTTCCGGCAACGCGTTATTGCCTAGGCCACTCTGGAGGCTGGTCTGTTACAGTTTAGCTCTAAAGCAGGGGTGGGCAATAATTTTCGTGGGGGGGGGAGGAGGGTTGCTGCGGCTATTTAAAGGGCTCACGGCTCCAGTCAAGGTAGCGCCGTGACTGGGAGCGGTGAGTCATTGAAATAGGATCCTGCTGCCTGATACACCTGGAAATGCGGTGGCATGGGCAGCAGGATATAACTGGAAAGCAGCCAGATGCTGTCCACGGGCCAGATCAAAGTGTTAGGTGGGTCGGATCTGGCCCCCAGACCGCATCTTTCCCAGCCCTGTTCTAAAACCAAGTAATCCCCCTGGCCTCCAACAAACCAAGATTTATGGATTCAGTGAGGGCAGGGGACTGGACGTGACCTCTCAAGGTCCCTTCCAGTCCTATGAGATAGGTATATCTCCATATATATAGTGAAAACACCAGCCCAGCGGATTGGAGGAGAGCAATGTCAGAAATCCTGACTTTTGGAAAGAACGGCTTCTCTCATTTTATTTAGGGTCTTTCATCCCCCACAGTTCTTTTAAAGAACCTCAAATTTTGCACCCACAGGAAGGAAAAAAAAAACAACCCATCCATCAAAATCCTGCAAGGAGGAGAAAAGATAAAAAAAGAAAAAAAAAAAAGAAAAGAAAAAAAAAAGAAGCAACCAGGAGGAGAGAAGGAAACAAACCAGAAAGGTTTTAAAACACGGTTAAAGAGGCAACAGCTTTAAAAGAAACACATGGCCTCTCCACCCTGCCCCGCAACGAGACAAGGAATCATTATGCCAAGTCAAGGATTAAAGAAGAGGGAGAGAGAACAGGTTTGGTTAGGTCGATGCAAGTGCTCTCTTGTGGTTATTAGGAAGTCATGCATTGTAATAGACTAATCACTCACTGCCCGCAGTAGGAGATGCAGCAGCAGCAGCAGCAGCAGAAGTGGTAGGAGTGGAATTGACGGAGGAAAGAGCTACATGGGTTGGGCTAGAAACATTTTTTACATCGTGGTGTTGGCTCACGATGGAAGGCTGTCTCCTGAGGGCTCCCTGTAAAGAGGAGGCGCCGGTCTGGAATGTGTAAACTACGTCCATCTGTAAAGAATCAGAGAGTAAGATAGCTTCGCCCCACAGTCAGAGACCCAGAGGAATGGGGGGGGAGGATACTGGAATTGGGGGACAGGGATGGGGAAGGAGAGAAGGCTAGGCAGACAGGGAGAGACACACGGACAATAAGGAGGAGGAGAGGATGGAGGTGGGCAGGAAGGGGGAGGAGGGAAAGACCGGAAAATCCCATTTCAGATTACATTCCCATAAATACAATTTTGGCAGATGACCCAAAAGCAAAGATTAGGTGTTAGCTTCCTGCCTCCCCCTCTCTGTAGTTTGCATCAGTTGCAATCTCTACAGGCCCCCAAGGGTGGGAGCAGTCAGGGGCAAAGGATCTATTATATCAAGGCAACCTGCAGGAGAGGCGGAAAGAGAGAGAGGGGGTGGAGGGGTGGGCGTAGGTGTGAGCTGGCAACCAGTACAAAGTGCAGCCTATATTCTAGAAAACTGCAGGCCTCTCTCAGGGTCGGGCCCTGCATCACACCGTGATTGGGGCACATGCCCCAACGATAAGGAAAAAACCAACAGCTGTGAAATAAGGAAGCAACCGCAGACTCAGTCTGCTGACACATTTGGAAGGATGGAAGAACAGAGCAGTAGCAAAGTATACCCGGGGAAAACAAGGAAACGACATGTCCTTGCAGCTTCCTATGTTTCCGGCCACTGCTCTGATCGTGTGATCCTTATTAAAAAGGCATCCTTAAGGAATGGTGTGCAGCTACCCAGTTCATCCCGGGGAGACCCCATGCACTGCTTTGCCATTTCCTTGTTGCATTCTTGTATTCCGATGCAGGGATGTTTTCCTGCAACCAGCAAGGGCAGCCTTACAAGAATCACGGCAGTTTTCCTTTAAGGCACGTGGATTTAGGACACGCCCTTGGAAACCCAGAATTCCAGGGTTTTGTTCTCCAAGCTGGCTAGCTATGATGTGCAGGATAAAACGCAGTGCTGGAAAGAACCCAGGGCTTTTGCATAGTGTTGCCGTAGCAAGCAGCGTTTGCCATGAGGCAATAAGGCAAAGAAAGCTGGCCCCAGTACGGCTGTGTCGGGCACCGCATGGTTGATACCGGTGTCTCTATCTCATTCTTCTTACCGGGAGACAGCACCTGAAACCTGTATCATGCTGCAGCACCGCAATACAGACATTTCTACCTACCATACACCAGCAAGTGAAGCTCATTCTTGTGGCTGCATGGTATTCCCAAAGGCATGAGGCTGCAGGCCAGCTTGAGAAATTAGCACACACACAACCACTGCCCCAAGGGCCAGCAACATCTCTGACTCCGAGGGAATCTGTTTTCGCCACATCTCACCCCAAACCAACCCAGCCTGGCCAATTCAAGCCAACACCGCTGCTTAAAAGACTAGAAGCCCAGAGCAAATAAATCATGTGTTGGCTTCCGTTGTGTGTATTCCCATGACTCATATTTTTCCACCCACAACTCAGTGATCTCAATGTGGGCCAGGCTCTGAGCTTCTTTGCACACCTGTGGCTTTGGTGTGGACCACATGCATTTCCTAAAAGTTGCAACAACACAAAAGTCACACGTTGGCGGTGTGAACCACAATTTCCATGTGTGAAGAAGGACTTGTGTGCACATCCTATAGGCACACGTCTCTGACTCCAATTGACTTAAGGAACCTTTTGCCAGTTGGCAGCCACTATGAAGGCAAATCTCCGGACTGAAACAATAACCAAATGTCATGAACAAGAACAACTGAGGCCTCATCTCAGCACCTCCATTCTGTAGCCCATCCCCAGCCCTGCACCCCCTCTCCCCTGTGACTTTGAAATGCAACCACCCTACAATCCTCATTCCAAGCGTGTCGCATGAGCCTGAACCACGCGAAGCAAACCAGTTCCTTCTTGTACTTGTCACAATGGGACGTTAACTCCAGCAGGGTCCCTAAAGCAGGAGGAGTGGAGGTGGTCGGCTTGGTATCTTCACATTCAGAGGCCTCTAGGAGCCTTCATGGTAGGAAGAAAAGGTCAATGTGTGTGTATGTGGGGGAGTTGATTGCGTTGTGTAGGCACGAAACCACTGTACAAAGCTTGGAGGATGCAACCTGCCAGGAGACATTTCTTCCTGGGATTAGGGTGGCTTCCTGTCTCCCTCAGACAATCTGCCTCACAGACAGTACCCACATCTTCCCCCCGCCTGGGCCCCCTGCCCTTTTCTTCAGAGGAATTTCACTCGGAGGGGATGGCTAGACTGCAGGTTATCCCGAAAAAACTCCGCCACATCCAGGGAATGCGTTCGTTCTTCCGCTTTTTTTTTTGGGTGGAAGAGCACACGCGCTCCTTTGGAAGCCCCTGTTCTCCTCATTCTACGAGGAAGAAGGGGGCTTCTGAAAGAGGGTTTTTTTCCCCCGACATTTGGCCCAGTCTGGACAGGCCAAATGTCGGAAAAACGTTTTCCGACAAAAAGATCGGAAAAAGGTACGCAAAATGTGGAGCGCATTTTGCATACCTTTTTCCAACAAAACCGTGTAGTCTAGCCCAGTAGTGCACAACCCGTGGGTCGCAACCCCCAAAAGGGTCGCGGATGTCTTCCCGGGGGTGGTCATGGTGCTTAGATCCAGCTGGCTGGGCGCAGCCGCGTGGTGCGGCTCTTAGATCTGGCCAGTGGCTGGGCCCGGCAGTTGGCGGTGCGAGGGTCGCAGATCAAAAAAGGTTGTGCACCACTGGTCTAGCCATCCCCTGAAATTCCAGCAGGACTCCGACACCAGAGAGAAGCCTTCCCAGCCCTTCAGAGCCCTCTAGTGAAGCAGGGTTTTGATGCAAAGGCAGAAGAACTGGGAAGGCAAAATGAAGTGTGCGACAATAACCAAAAGGCAGCCCAGTAACTATCCCACTTCCTTCTCCCTTGCGACTTGTCCCTGGGCTCTAGTTCCTGCGAGCTGGGGAAAGAGCAAAGGGGGACAGAGGGACAGGCCCTGGTTGCACCTTTGAGGCTCCAGGGGTGGGGAGCAGACAGACTGCTTCAGCCAGGTACGTTTTCCAGGGGCCTCCCAGGAAGACACTTTCAGGCATTCATCAAAACTCCCCTGCCTGAGACTGGTTCAGCTGGCTGCTCCAGAGTGGCAGGATGCTGGGCCCCCCTGCAAGGGGATAGAAAGCCCCCCTTCTCCCCAGCCACACAGCACATGTTATTAGGCACCTGCTCAATCTGCAGCCAGGCTGCTGGAGCGTAGGGGAAGAACGGACAGGCCGACACAAGGGAAATACCCAGCGCAGGTGAGGAGGGGCGCCAACAGGGGTTCTTTGCTCTTCACATCCACGCTGAACACACAAGCTTCCTAGCACGGCATTGACCCGGGAAAGCAAGGAGGAAAAACCTTTGGCAGCACGTTCCGGGGGCTGGCTAGTCACTGGGCACCGTGTGACTCCTGTTGGCTTTGGCCTCCTTCACGCCTCGGCTGCCGCAGCTTGTACCTTCGCCGTGTGGGAGCGAGAAAGCCCCTCCTAGCACAGGACAGAGGAGGCCCGGGATGGGGGAGAGGGGGGCAGAGAGAGGGCAGTTAACAAGAGAAACATTGAGAAGGTTAGGGCTGGTTGAGAAATGCGAGCAGCTCATGGGCAAGGCAAACTCCAGGGTGAGAGGCTTCCTTGAAGGAGGAAAAAAGCAGAGGAGGGCCCCAAGGGCAAATAGGCTCCTTGGCAAAACAATAAAAACAAAGTCAGTGAGGTTTTTAAAACAGCAGTAGGAAAAAAAAACGATTAAAGAAAGGAAACCAGGCTTCTTCTCCTCCTACAATTCTCCTCCCCGTCTAGCTACAGCATTGGGGTTAGTCGATAGAGAGGAATCCACAAGAGGTGTCTTGAGACCAGGGGAGCAGCAGGGCAGAAGAGAGGGAAGGCGTGTGAAAGGTCCCCATGGGACAAGCTGCCACAAGGCTGCTCTGGCTACCTCTGTAAGACCGCGGAAAGAAGGATCCAGAGAGACAAAAGCCACCGTGCCTCAAGCTCAGCCAATGATTCCTGTGCCAACAGCTGACAGGCCAGGGGGCCCTCAGCTGGCAAGAAAGAGCCTCAATTTCCCCGCTGGGAACAGAGATGGGAACCCAGGAGTGGCAAGGCCTGACAGGCAGCTCCCCCGCCCACAGTCAGCCCAGTTCTCTGCCTCCCGGCCACAGAGCTCGGGCTGCTGTCCTCCTGTCAAGCCGGAGGTTTGAAACGGTCCAGGACAGCCCCATCCAACGGCCACTGCAGTCCGTGGAGAAGGCCAGGTGAACAAGGGTAAGGGGCGGAGTTCTTATCTCTGTGGAACGGGGCTCACACACCTGCGACTTGAAAACAAGGAGAGAACCTGGCTGCTAAATGCCCCATCTCCTGCCGTGTTAGTCAACTCCATCCTGGACGCAGGCAGCCTGGCCTTCCTACAGGAGGATCTTCCACCAGGGCTGCCCACAATCTACTTCCGACTAGGGGAGCAGCGATCCTGAAGAGGGTGCCCAGAAAAAGGCCAACGAATATTCATCGAGCTGCACCTCCATGGTGAACCTGCCCAAGCCTCATTAACACCAACAAGGGCCTTGCAGCTCTGCCACCCCCCTCCACCCTGACCAGTCCAAGGCACTGAGATCGCCTCCCGCACACCCATCCACCTGTCGCCTAGCCCGCTGGGAAGCAGGCATGCTGTGCGCACACAGCCAAGCAGCAGTACCTGCCCATAGGCCTGGCTTGCTGACCAGCGCTCACCCAGAAAGGGTGTTTTAGACCCTGGCGGGGCTGAGCGTCACCGTGGCTGCAAGGAGCCACACAGGCAAGAGGATGGCCCTAGATCTCTTCGGCCAGGGCCCCGGCAAAGCAGGACACGGCACCTCAGTGCCCCCCACGGTACCTGCGTCTGTATCCTGTTGAGGCCCCGGAACCAGAGGATCTGCCCCCGCCGGAGCTCCATCTCGGCATGGTCAATCTCATCCATGTCCTCCGGCAGCTCCTCCTCCGGAATATCCTCCTTGGTGATGCCGTGTCCGGCTTCCTTCAGGAACTTCAGCTGGCTGGTCGGGACAGTGCAGATGAGCTACAAGGACACGGGGAGCCCATGGGTTAGTCTGGGGCGGGCAATCATTTTTGATGGGGGCGGCACTGCAAAATGTGGGTAAGTTTTCAAGGGCTGCACTTTTCTATGGAAGGGGTGCGGGGTCTGGGAGGGGGGTTGGGTGCACAAGGGAGCTCGGGGCAGGGGGTTGGGGTGCAGGAGAGGGAGAGGGGTCTGAGAGGGAGTTTGGGTAGAGGAGGGGGTTCGCGGTGTACACAGCTTCCCTCTCCCCGCAGCGCAGAGAGGCAGATGGAGCAGCCAGCCGCTCTGAGCTCTGGGGCTGCCCCTGGCCTGTGGGTCCAGTGGAACGGGCCACGGGCCAGACTGAAAGGCTTGGCGGGCCGGATCCGGCTCCTGGGCCGTAGCTTGCCCACCCGTGTGTTGATCCCTCTCCAACTGTACTAATGTGGCTGCTTCCTCATCCCAGTGATGTGACACCTTTGCTCCCTTGTCCCCCGGGAATCCCGTGTCTGTATGGCTCAGGACGGCTTGCCGGTGGCCCGAGCTGCTCGCAATGCAGCAGTTCAGAAAGAAACTAAAGCAAGAGGGAGAGCCCCCGTGTGCCAGCCTAGAGCAGCTCTCCTTCCCACCGCCTCATGGCAACCCCAGGGTAGGTCTGGGTGGTGTGGGGGGGGAGATGGCTAGCTGGCTATTTGTCTCACAGCACCGGCCAGAGGACAGAGACCTCTCCCTCTGCTTTTGGCAACAGGAAGCAAGCTGCGCTTGGGGGAGCCTGTCACGCCTGAGGACACGAGTGTGCATAGGTGGAGTGACAGCGAGTGCAGGGGTTTCCATCGCAGAGGGCGGGTTTGGCAATAGATGGTGTGTGTGTGTGTGTGTGTGGGGGGGGGTGATCAGCCCAGACTTCACCTGGCCCCAAAGCAGCTCTCCGACCCCAATGAAGATACACCAGAACCACTGGCTCAAAGTGAGCCCCGAGCAGCTGAATGGCTTCCCACCAAACTCCACAATGAGGATCTGCAGCGCAGGAGAGAAGAGCACATGCCAGGGGGCTGTTAGCGGGGACGTGCAGTCAGAGGTCACGTGGCATTTGGGAGTCTCCCCCCACGCTCCCTTTAATTTATTCACCCACGTGTGGAATAAATTTTGTTATGTGCACTGAGCACATGGTATGCATGGAATACATTTTGTTATGTGCACTGAGCACATGGCATGCATGGAATACATTTTGTTATGTGCACGGAGTACGTGACATGTGCAGAATAAATTTTGTTATGTTTTGCACAACACACCCCGACACTGAAATTATTTCCCCATTTCAAAGGGAGCTGCCGGCATAATAGTAAAACCCAGGTGTCAAGTGGTTTTACTGAAAACAGACAAAGTGAACTCCCCAGGCAGTGGCTTGTACAGGATGCACAAGACAGCTGCAAAACTCCAAACCCCAGAGAAACAGAACAGTGAATGGAAACTCTGTGTGATCCCTCACATCAGCATCTCGGTAGGAGTTGGGTCAGAACCAGAACCTTGGATCCAGCCCCTCTTTGACAGCAGGGTTTTGCAGGACCAGTAATTTGGATCCAGGGTCCATTTTATCCAATTCAAGGTCATGTTTAGCTCTCTCTAAGGGTTTATAGGCCCATCACTGTAGTGTCTGAGCAGTTCATAAACATTAACGCAGCTGTCCTTGCAGCACCCTACAAGGGGGGAACATTTACAGATGGGGAACTGAGGCTCAGAGAGCATGAGGAACTTTCCCCAGGTGGCACGGGGAGTCTGTAGCAGAGCAGAGAATCAAACAGCAGTCTCCTGAGGCCCAGCCTAGTGCCCTAACCCATGGACCATCCTTTCTCTCTTCACTGGGCACTGCCTATTTCTAGTCCACATGCACCCAGGACCACCAACGCGGGGGGCAAAAGGGGCAACTGCCCTGAGGCCTGGCGATTCAGCAGAACCCAGGGCTGCTGGTCGCCACTATTGCAACAGCCCGCCCTATAATCGCCACCGGAGCCCCATGTGGCAGGGGCGACTGCAAGACGCTAACCCCAACCCCGCCCCTTTCTGCCCGAGTCTCCGCCCCTTCTGGGAGCCCAGAGCCGCCCCCTCACCTCGCCCGAGGCCCTGGCCGTTCCGTCCGCCCCCCCGCCAGGCCCACGCTGCTCTCAGCGGCCGTTACCTGCGAGGCGAAGGTGCCCAGCACCACGGTGCAGAAGATGGGATTCCGGAAGATGGACTCGAAGACGTTCCGCTCGCCGTGGATCTTGCGCGCGTTGATCTCGTTGAACAGCTGCATCATGACGAAGGTGTTGAAGACGATGGTGTAGTGCTCGGAGGGCGGGGAGTGGAGCGGCGTGTTCCGGCCGCTGTCGATGTCAAAGAACTTCTCGCCTAGCGGGCAGGAGGCGAGAGAGAAAGCTCGAATTTCCGCCTTCCTCCGCTCCCTCACCCGTCACCCGCACCCTGAACTTACACTGAAGGAGGAGCATCGTGGTCTCTTGCAACTCGTGGGGCCAACACAATAGAGGAGGGACTACCTGGATCCTACACTCGCCTGGGGGGGACCTCACCCCGTGCACTGAATACCCCACTAGCCACTATGTGGGTGACCCCAGACGGTCTCTTGACTGAACGAGAAAAGGCCTCTTCGCCTTTCCGCCAAGCCACCGCTCTCCACCTGACCTCTCGGTCCTTCTCCACTCCACTCCTGCCTGGGAGCTGAAGCTCGTTGGTCAGCTAGACACTAAAAACCACGCACAGACCGGACACACTGGATCGATGGTGCACTACATAGCCACTATGTGGGTGACCCCAGACGGTCTCTTGACTGAACGAGAAAAGGCCTCTTCGCCTTTCCGCCAAGCCACCGCTCTCCACCTGACCTCTCGGTCCTTCTCCACTCCACTCCTGCCTGGGAGCTGAAGCTCGTTGGTCAGCTAGACACTAAAAACCACGCACAGACCGGACACACTGGATCGATGGTGCACTACAACCCTCCAAAAGCCACTAAGGCAGGAGTCGGGAATCTTTTTCAGGTCAGGGGCTGCTAACCCACCAAAAAATCAGTCGGGGGCCACACACAAGCGAGAAGGAAAAAACCAGACAAACAGAACCCCTCACTGAAAGACACTCTGCACAGTCCCCTTATGCTCCAGAGTCTAGGGGGAGTCCAGCCTAGTAGAGTGTGTGTGCTACAGCCCCGTTGGGGGGTGGGGGGGCTGGAGCACCAGCACGGTCTCTCCAATGCTGGGGATGGGTCCGGAGCTTGGAGGGCCAGATCCAGGCTAGGGCTTTAGTTTCCCCACCCCTGCACAAACACCACCCTCCACCCAACTGCTATCCCCCTCCTTCCTTTCCACCCTAAGAGAGAAGGGGTGCCAACGGGCTCCCTCGCCTCAAATATTCCCTTGAAATGGAGTTAACTACTTGCACTACCTCAGTTCCACCTCGAATACAGCAGTGACCCTCTGGGGTAAGTCTGCACTACGAATTACACCGCTCAGGCGAGCGAACAACCCATGTTACCGAGCGACATAAAACGACACCACCGGAAGCGTCCGACTACCGCCTCTCGCGGAGGCAGAAGTTCGGCCAACCAGCCCCTATAGGCTTAGAGCAGGGGCGGGGAACCTTTTCTGGGTTGGGGGGTCGCTGACCCACAGAAAAATCAGTTGGGGGCCGCACACACGTGAGAAGCAAAAAAGCCCCCAAAACAAACCACGCCCTTGCTGAAGCAGCCCCCTCCTGAGAAGGGGAAAGACACTCCCCACATTCCCCTCACACACCAGAGCCTGGGGGCCCAGGCTAGTACATTCGGAGTAGATTTTGTGTGCTTCAGCCCAGCGAGGGGACAGGAGGGGGCTGGAGCACCAAATGCAGGTTCCCCAATGCTGGGAGGGGGGAGCCTTGAGTGCCAGATCCAGGCATGCTGGGGGCCGCATCCATCCCTTGAGCCTTAAGTTCCCCACCCCGGCTGAGAGCACCCTCGCCAGAATTGCTGCAGTAGCTGTGACGCTGGAAATGATGGAGGGCTGACATAGCCCTGGGGAAGAACTCTGTGTAGCTCCAAAGCTTGTCTCTCTCCCCACCACAGATATGGGTCCAATCCAAGGTATTCCCTCCCTCCCCTGGTCCCTCTAATTGCAGGGGGATCTTGATTATGGCATCACAGCGGGTGGTGCAGCTTGAGGGCAGAGCGAAGGGAGTGTGGGAAAACCTGCGACTGAAGACACCAGCAAAGTGCAAGGCATCCTAGGTAAACCAGGCAGTCAATTGAAACAGCCAGGATGATATGTCCCTGTATTGGGCTCTTCCAGGGGCATTTAGATGGAGGGGAATTTAGTGCTGACAGACATTCAGGGATGGCCACGTCCGCCCTTCGTCCCAGCTTCCTTCCTCCTCACAACGTCCTCAGCAAACCCTGATGTGAAGCGGCCACCTCTGGGAACCCAGCTCCCATCTGGTTCCCGGCCTGTGCGCTGAGGCTCCCGAGAAGGGAGCTGTGGACGCGGACTCACTTGGCATCAGACTGAGTCCCACCAGGGTTCTTTCATGCAGGCCACCAAGCAGGAGACCTAGGTCTTTGAAGGTTCTCTGGGCCACTACTGATCCCGTAAGCCAACCCGTCTCCAGCAGCCAAAAAAGGGTTCAGATCGTTAACCTTCCCTGAGTAGAGAGCTGAACACAGCAGCTGCTTCCCTGGCTCCAACGCGCTCCGCACCCAGTGAACTCTGGCCCCAGCAATGAGACCCACTGAACAGGAGTCACTATAGGTGGACCCATGCCCAGCTGGCTCGGCGAGCCGCTGGCATGGATTTTACCCCTGCCTGGTTGAGCAGCAGAGGGGGCATGGCTGGAGCGGAGATCCCCCTCCCCTGCCAGTCCCCGCTGGCTTCGCAGGCTCACCTGCAAAGAGCAGTGTGAAGATGATGGTGAGCTGGTACACCGCGTGCCCAAGAATGTTCTTCATCATGGTGCGGGAGATGAGGGGCTTGTTGCGGCCGTACGGCCGGCGCAGCAGCAAGGACTCCGAGGGGGGCTCAGTGGCCAGGGCTAAGGAGGCAAAGGTGTCCATGATCAAGTTCACCCACAGCATCTGGACGGCCTTCAGAGGAGAGTCCTGCAGAGGGAGAAGAATCCCCCATGGAGCACGCGGTCTCTTCGATCAGCGCTCTACGGCTCCCGCCCGGGCACTTCCGGTCCCCTCCAGCTGGAGCCGCACGGTTGCTTCCCAGGGCTCCTTACCTGTGTGATGCAGGCTCCTGTGAAAGCCACGATGACGGCCACCACGTTGACGGTCAGCTGGAACTGCAGGAACTTGGAGATGCTGTCATAGACGTTGCGGCCCCACATCACTGCCTTGACGATGCTGGTGAAGTTGTCGTCCGTCAGGATGATGTCGGAAGCCTCTTTAGCCACGTCGGTGCCCGCGATGCCCTGGAGGAGGGAACAGAGCAGAGGTGGTATCCCGAATCATGGGTAGTGTGAATGGTTGGCATGAGTGAATTAACAGTAAGCGAGCTGAAGAGAGGCCATACTAGGGTCCAAGTCAGTGCCCCCCGTGGATTATGGACTTGTTTATCACTTTGAGAAAAAGACCGTGTGCTCTGAAAGAAGCAAAACTGAACAAAGGAGGCAAAGTTCCCAAATAAAAGGAGTCAGCGAAGGGAGTCAGGGAAGAACTCGACCAAGGACATTCCATTGCCTATCGATCGTGGCTAGGCGAGCAGAATTGGGTGTTGTACGCAAGATGCTCCAAGATTGGTTGTAAGCACACCCATAGGTGGTGAGATCATCAGATATCACCCCCACTCGAACTGTCCCTCACTAAGGGGCTATATACCCCACCAATTTACCACGCGGGCCGAAGTCCATCGAATCGGCATATTGGGGTGACATGCACGTCAGATTTCCTCCTCAACCAAATTAACCAACATTACTTGGGGTTTGGCCAGCCCCAGGGGGCGAGTGATGTGTGTATGAATGTGCTTATGAGCAGGGCTCGACAAACCACTGAATCTATTCACCCGTGGTGAGTAGATTTCAGCCGGTAGCTCTGTGAGCCCCATTCACCAGCGCTTCGCGCATGCGCAGTGCCAGTCAGGCGCATGCGCGGTGCAGGGCTGGCGAGTAGCTCTCACTGGAGTTTGTCAAGCCCTGCTTATGAGAGTGTGTATCAAAATTGGGTTAAGAATTAGACTGTTAACTATTTAAATTAAGTACTGCTTTTGTTCTACTTTCTAATTGCTAACTACTAGATTTAAACCTTGCTTTTGAGCTGCTTCTTAATTGCTTGCGATAAAGTTTGTTAAAGGAATATTTTGTCTGCTATGAATTCATTGTTCCATGTAAACTCGGCCTGTAGGACTGTTGTACGGACTGATCACCCATGTAACAGTGCCCGCTTGGGACAGTGGTGTGAGTCCCTGAGCCAACCTCTCATCCAGGCCTGTTCCAAAACACCGACAAGCTGTGGAAGCTGGAGTCCAGATCAGAGTGGGCCCGTCTCTACAGAACACTCTCTTTGCTTGGAGTTGCTTCCTGCATCCCATGTACCTTCCCACGTGGGGACAACAGCAGCCTGACCTGCTGCGGGGATGGATTTCCTGCCAGCATCTCTCACAATGCAGAGAGCTGAAATGGAGCAATCAGCAGTTGTAGCACTACTGCTGAGCAGGCAAATGCTTTTCAGCCCTAGATCTCAGAGTGTTTCATCGCCCTTCCCTTTAAAGAGGGACAAGAGGAAGTCGGGGGCGGGATCTCACTCTCTGGAGGTCACGCAGGTCAGTGGCACAGCTGGGAATAGAACTCTGGGCTCTCAAACCCCAGTGCTGTGTCCTCAATAGGGATGTGAACGGGTTACTGGTTAACTGGTTACCAGTAGGCATAACCCTTACTGGGCGATGCTTACCAGGTAACAGTTAATGGGTTCCCTAGGAGCAGCCGCCTGCCACAGGCAGAGGGCTGCTCAGCCCTACCGGACCCACCAGCCAGCAGCCCACCCCGCATGGCTGGGACAGAGCTGGAAGCAGGATCCCCACATGGGGATGGGGGCTGCTCCAGCCAGCCTGGGATCCCAGTTATTCAGTTAACTGGTTAAACATCAGGTTAACCTAACAATTAACAGTTTAACTGATTAATCGGGATTTTACACTTCTTTTGGCAATGGAGTATGGAGAGCGCAGTAGAGGGCGCTGAGTCTGCACAGATGCAGCCTTATACCAGGAGCAAAGACACAGCTAGGTCCAGTGAAATCCACTTAATGATTTTCCCCACTGCTTTCCTGCTGGGCCCCATTGAGGCGACCTATTGGGTCTGCCCCTTGGCAATGAAGCCCCAGAAACTGAACTTGAAACTGACGAGAAACGAGGGGCCATGAGCGAGGGGTCTATTTTCACGGTTCCATTGGAAAGAAATGCAAACAAGTAGGCAAACAGCGTTAACAGTAAAGAGCGAACTAGATTTGCAAATTGCTTCCATGTAAATAAACTAATATGCCTCCCGAAAGACAGGAAAGATTTGGGGTTGGTTATTTTCATTTTGGGTCAGTAACTCCAGGCCTGGGCCCTTTAAGGCTCCTAAATACACATGTTTGATTTGCAGAGGTGCTGAACATCTGCAACTCCCGCTGTCCCAATCACCTATGAAAACCAGGCTGTGTTCATTGCAACACTTGAGTAGGGGTTTAGGACATTAGCTTTCGGCAGCCAGATTTGAAAGTTAAGGCCAGGATTCTTAATATGACAGTGCCCCTTTAAGAATGAAAGACGAGGGAGGGTCTGTCTAAGCCAGGATAACAGAGGTCTGTTTCTTGGCAGGGGATATTTTCCAGGTCCCTTGTGCAAACATCCCATAGCATTTTATACAAAGTGATCACTTCCCTGTAGCATTTTTGAACCATCTTATAGAATTTAATAGAAATGTTTATAGCAAGGAAAAAGTACTACAGGCTGATTAAAATGATCTCCTCTATTACACCCTGTAATCCTTAGGCCAGGTCTACACTAAAGGGGAAGGTCGAACTAAGCTACACAACTCCAACTATGTTAATTATGTAGCTGGAGTTGATGTACCTTAATCTGAGTTTCTGCGCCATCTCCAGCGGAAGGCCGACGGGAGCAAGGAGCAAGAGCGGGGGCACCCTCTGCGTTTGATTTAATAGGTATTTTCTAGACCCGCTAAATCAAACTCCGGAAGATCAAATCATGGCAGCGTCAATCTTCCGCTTAGTGAAGCCATGGTCTTAGAGAGATTTCTAAACTACATAAATGTTATCATTCCTCTTTAACTTCCTTAGAAGTTTCCTAGCACAACACAGCACACAGAGAAAGACCCCTGTTCTTCCATACCATAGCGAATCCGACATCAGCTTTCTTCAAGGCTGGGCCATCATTGGTTCCGTCCCCAGTCACAGCCACCACCTGCCTCTGCTCTCCAACGGTGCTGTCAATAATTCCTGCAACAGACACAGGGTATGTCTACACTACCACCCTAGTTCGAACTAGGGTGGTAGTGTAGACATACCCTGTGTCTGTTGCAGGAATTATTGACAGCACCGTTGGAGAGCAGAGGCAGGTGGTGGCTGTGACTGGGGACGGAACCAATGATGGCCCAGCCTTGAAGAAAGCTGATGTCGGATTCGCTATGGTATGGAAGAACAGGGGTCTTTCTCTGTGTGCTGTGTTGTGCTAGGAAACTTCTAAGGAAGTTAACAAAGGAAACAGGTCCCAGCATGTGCTCCTAGCACACTCAGAGCTGCACTAGGGAGCAAAGCATCCAGCTGGCGTGGGAATCATTAGATCTGCAAAGTGGTGTATCTTTTCTTAATGTGGACATCTGTCGGGCACTGACCACTGCAGGGCTGCCTTTCTCCTTGGTGCCAGGGACTGTGTACAACTCTCATCCAGCCTCTCTTCTGGCAGGTCATGCCACTGCTGATATTTTGTCCTTCCAGATCACAAGGATCTCACAGTCCTTAGCAAGTGAGACCCAAAGGATGCTGGGGGTGGGGTGGGGTGATGGGGAAGAGAGCATCTTGCTCTAGGTCACTGTTTCTCAACCTTTTTTTTTATAAAGTACCCTCTTTTCAAAAAAATTAATTATAACTACCCGCAGTACCTACAGTTTTCAGACACAATTTTTTTTTCTGCCATTGCTACACATTTGTTTAAACAACTTAATCGTAGCTGGATGGGCGATGACATTTTTGGGTGTAAAAAGTACAAAAATAAAGCGCTGTGAAACTTAAAACAAAAATTCCTTTTTCTCCAAATTTCAGTTGTGTTGACGTATCCCCCTGACTTTGCTCACGTACCCCTAAGTGTACTTGTACCACTGGTTGAGAAACACTGCTCCAGGTGACAGAGCTGGGAAAAGGATACAGGTATCCAACTCGGTTTTCCCTACCCTTGCTTATTTTGTGCAGGAGCCTGCACACCGGCTCTCCAGTTGCCCTTACCTTTCACAAGGGTATGCTTATCCGTGGGGGAGGAACGGGCCAGGACTCGCAGCTTGGGCCAGATTTTATCCAGCTGCTCTTGCTCCACCTGCAGGACCAAGCAAGCAAGAGAGAATGAGCCGCCGGCCCGGCAGGTATTTGAGAACTGGAGCTGAGCGAATCGCTGATTCCTCAATTCGCTGTCTGAAAAGAAAATCCCCAAACCCTGCCCTCCCCAGGCGAACGCCCTATCCCCTAGGCTATGCCAGAACCTCCCCCACCCCCCGCCATTGTGGGCCCAAACGTTGGTTAATTTTCAGGTGTGAGGCTTTGGGTGGCTTTTTTTTAAGAATATCCTTTAAAAATTAACACTAGCTGGATTTCAAAACAAGAAGTCAAAATAGTTTAATTTGCAAAAATAGCCAACTGAAAACCCCAAATGGAAAACTGGGCTGAAAAAAGCCTTCCTCCCTCCCCTCCAGCTGGAACTATTTGCTGAATGTGACCCAAACTCGTGAACAGCTTTGGTCAACCCCCAATTTTGTTTTTCAGCAAATAAACTAGTCAGAGAAAATTTCTGTCCATCTCTATTGAGAGCCAAGGGTTGTTCAGTAGGGCAGGACGGGGGGCGAGGACTGGATGTTCCCTTCACCTTGACTCTGATGTTTCTCCCACAGAGAGGTGAAAGGCAGAAGGTGCACCCCGGTGGACCACTCCAGCAACAGCTGGCTGAGCTGCGGCAAAAGCAGCAGGGAGCTATTGAAAGAGCTGGCAGGGACCCAGGTTGCAATGGGACAGTACTGGTAAGAAATTTTAAGTTACTTTCACCACGGCTCTCATGGCACATCTAGACCCCAAGCACCCTCCAGGGGGTTACTGGCCCTTGGCCAAACTGGCTAGGAGCCCCAGCTAAAGCTAGCTGAGCAGACAGCTCTCCATGCCAGGCACTCTACGAAACATCAAAAACCCAGCTAGGTTCAGCTCAGTACAGGCAGAAGCAAGAGGCTCTCTACTGGCTGCCCTTCCAGGCCTAGCTTCTGACAGGGCCCCAGGGACCTGAGTGGCTCAGAGGCATGGTCCTCTCCCGGATTCCTACCTCCCCCTTCTCGTTCCGGATGAGCCGGTTGAACTCCTTGCCCTCCAGGCACAGGAAGTCTTCCCCAGGCAGCAGGATGCCGCACTTGGTCGCGATGGCGCGGGCGGTGTTGATGTTGTCACCTGTCACCATGCGGACGGTGATGCCGGCACGCTGGCACTTCGTGATAGCCTCGGGCACCTACAGGCGAGGTCAGGGAGAGAGACACTGTGGGAAAGAGACAGACCGGAAAAGAGGAGCTGGGGAAAACAAACCCATGGGGTCAGACAGGCTCAAACGGCCTGTGACAGGATGTACACACCCCGCACTGGGCCAGGCGGGCTTAATGCCCTCTGGGCGGAGAAAGTCACACACCCCCAGCCGCACTGGGCATGCTCCAACTGCTGGGGTAGTATAAAAGGCAGCAGCTCAGCTCAGTCCGGGTTGCACGCTGGAGAGGAAGGACCCTGCTACAGAAGCGCCAGAGATAACCAGGCCAAAGACCCTGATGACAGGAGCTGGAGACCCAGGAAACGGAATCGAGCCTCCAGAGCTGCAGAAGGAGACTGACACTGCAGAGGCTGAGGACCTACGTGGATCACCCCAAATGCCAGATCTGGTAGGAAGCGACCCAAGGAGGGTGCACGGGTGGTATCTCCCACCCGAGTGAGCTCAGCGTGTTGTGGGATTCCTCGCTAAGCGAGTGGTGGACCACTTCCCCACAGACAGGGCCCTGAGTCAGGGTCTGGTAGAGTAAGGTGGGCCCAGGTCCCCCTACCGCTGCTGCTGCCCCAACCCCACTGACTCTAGCCATTAGGCTATATTGCCCTGTTCCCAAGGGCTGCGTTATATACTCTGGCATTGGATTGTGCTGTCCTGCAATTTAAAAGCTATTTTGTAGACTCCAGCCATTAGGCTGTATTGCTTGGTGACTCAAGGACTAATTTACAGACAGTGGCCATTGGACCTCACTGCCGTGGGACGGGGTGTGATTACAATGTGACAGGGCCCCATCTGGACAGTACAAATGGAGGACTGGGGGGTAGCCCGCAGAGGCATGGAAACACGGACATACAAGCCACACGCCGCCAGCTGGGATGCAGCACGAGGCCTCCCTGGCCATGAAGCACAGAGGCAGCCTCGCCTAGCGGTCAGGAGAGGCTCAGGCCCAGGCGTGAGCCAGTGTGAATCGAAGAGGAGCATCTGGGGAAGTCGGGGGTGGGAGAAGGTCCAGGGGTTGAAGATCAAGGGGCCCAGGGTGGGCCTGAGAAATGGTCTAAAGGGGTTGGAGAAGGAGAGAGGCTTAAGTTTTGGTGAATTCAGGCCTCATTTACTCCCATCAGGCGGGTCACTGACAACATGGTCAGAGAGGCCTGCTGAGGAAAGCTCAGGGTAGTCTCGGAGGAAGGCCCCAGACCGTGGACCGGGGAGGCTGATTCGGCTCTGGCCCACTGGGAGTCGAGAACCAGGCACCGGCTACTGGAGGGCAGGGCGGGGAGTCTCCATCTTGCTCTGCAGGAGCAGAGAGGCAGGGCATGGCGACTCGGGCGAAGGGCCTTTCAGAAGAACAGAGCCCCATTGTACCGGGCCACGCACTGGGGACTCAAGTTACGAGAGCGTTTGGGAGGGGCCGGCTCACTTCTAAGCGGAGGCCCTGGCTGAGCGGTTCCAACCAACGAGCTAGTTCTCTGCACAGCTCTAGCCAGGTCAGCGCGTCTGTTCAGCGCCGTTCCGGGAACTGGCTGCAGTGCCCTTCCTCTGCTGCCCCCCGGGAGACGTAACTTCATTGCCTGCTCCATGTGATGCCACAGGGCTCGGGAACCTCCGGTGCCCAATCCGGATGACCCATCAATCAAGACGTGGGACGTTTTATTTCTTCCTGCTCTACCCGCAGACGTACTGACAGCAGCCCGCCCCTCTCCCGGCCTGGCATCTCTGGCTGCAGCGGCACATCGCTGCGCTAATGGGTTTATCTCCTACAGAACCAGCCTGAGCCGGGGCGGGAAGGGTGGGGGGAATGTTACTGAGAAATCAGCAAATCAAATCAAGGCCTGCAGACCGGGCATGTGTAATGCAATTCCTGAGTCCAGATACTTTAATGGCTAATTAGGGGAAGAGGCGAGCAAGGCAGGCTCCGAAATGGAATCAAGAGGCAGGCATGGGACTGCTTATTGCGTTAGCTCAGCAGTCTGTCCGTCACCCCCAGGCCAGCCGTGAGAATAGGGGAAGGAGCGTGTGGGCTGCAGGAAAAACAGCTTCCTGTCAAGGGTTTTCTCCCACCCCGGGGGGCAGCAAATCAGCCCCCAACTGCCTTCCACCGTGAGAAGACTTTGCCTTGGTTTCTCTGCTACCTCAAGCAATGAACATTGGCGCCGGAGAGGTGGTCCTGCCCAGACCGAGAGGCCTTTGTGGGGATATGCCCGCCTGAGGTGCCTGGTTAGGGGGGCCGACAGGATCCCTGGGCCTCTAGGCCGTGTGAGGGGACCCAGGCTCTGCGCTGCTGGAAGGGGTGGGGTCTCAGGCAGAAGGGGCGGGGCTAGGGCTGGCCGCATTGGGCCCCCCCCCCGTGCTCTGAAGTGTTCCAGCAGCGATTCTAAAAGACCCAGGGTTCTGAATCACCGGGCCCTGAGGCAATTGCCCCCCCGTGGGACCCCTGCCCCCAGCAGCACCGGCTGGATGGGCCTCCTGGCACTTGGCGGGCTCCTGATCATGGCATGGAGTGAGGGCACCTCACACATAAAGCACAGGACTCGAGTGAGATGATGTGTGCTCTGAAGTGTTCCAGCAGCGATTCTAAAAGACCCAGGGTTCTGAATCACCGGGCCCTGAGGCAATTGCCCCCCCGTGGGACCCCTGCCCCCAGCAGCACCGGCTGGATGGGCCTCCTGGCACTTGGCGGGCTCCTGATCATGGCATGGAGTGAGGGCACCTCACACATAAAGCACAGGACTCGAGTGAGATGATGTGTGGCGCCCTGCAAGGCATCTCTGGGGAGGGTGCTCAAGCCCCCCCATTTCTAGAAGGGCTCTCATCACTGCATAGCCACTGTGCCCTGGGGGGCACCGTGCTCATGCCCACAGCAGGGTGGGGAAGGGATGGCCTGCCCGTGTCAGGAAGGCAAGCGGGTGTTGTGGTACCTCTGGCCGGACAGGATCCTCTATGCCGACCACGGTGATACAGGTCAGGTCAGACAGGATCTCGTTCTCGCTGTCCCAGTCGGGCTCGGCGTCAGCGGGGAAGTCGCGGAAGGCCAGGCAGATGGTGCGCAGTCCTTGGCAGGCCATCGGTTCAATCACCTTCTTTACCATCTCGTCCCGGTCCTTCACCTTGAACGCCCGCAGGTCCCCATTCTTGTCCAGGATCTTTGTGCACCTGCACCCAGGAGAAGTTTAGGAAGTTAATGGAGAATCCTAGAACTGGAAGGGAGATCAAGTCCAGTCCCCTGCCCTCATGGCAGGACCAAGCACCCTCTGATCATCCCTGGTAGGTGTCTATCCAACCTGCTCTTAACTATCCCCAGTGACGGAGATTCCACAACCTCCCTGGGCAATTTATTCCAGTGTTTAGCCACCCTGACAGCTAGGAAGTTTTTCCTAATGTCCAACCTAAACCTCCCTTGCTGCAGTTTAAGCCCATTGCTTCTTGTTCTATCCTCAGAGGTCAAGGAGAACAATTTTTCTCCCTCCTCCTTGTAACAACTTTTTAGATACTTGAACACTGCTATTACGTCCCCTCTCAGTCTTCTCTTTCCCAAACTAAACAAGCCCAGTTCTTTCAGTTTCCCCTCCTAGGTCATGTTTTCTAGACCTTTTGCTGCTCTTCTCTGGACCCGCTCCAATTTCTCCTCCTCTTTCTTGAAATGTGGTGCCCAGAACTGGGCGAGAAAGGCTTGCCACCTGCAGAGTAAAAGAGAGGCAAGCCCCCCAGCTCTAACCTCACAGGGGGAAGAGACTAAGCCAGAGAGATTTAGCAACCCTTTTTATCTGTCAGTTAGGCATGAACCTCAAGAGTTTTCAGGTGAGCCTGCGGAAAAAAGACTAGGGGGCTGCTTCCTTCCCTGAACTGGCCTAGATTCTCAAGGCTGCAAAGCGGGGCTGGCAATTTCTCTGGAATATGCTCCCTGGCAGATACGTGGCACTGCCTGGCTGGAGACACCAACACGGCTTCTGGCACAGCAGTTTGGCTACCAGGAGCACAAATGCAGCAGAAGTGACAAAATAATTATGAAGCAAACATGCCAACCTCCCCCAACCCCAATTAACAGGCCGCATTTTATTCCAGGCAACTGGGGACGAAGCCACGGGGCTGTCCTGCATGGGATTATGCTCTTACAATCGATCCTCCCACTTGAGAACCTCATTGAGTGCTACCCCAGAGGCAGTGTGGCCTAGTGGATAGCTCACCAGAGCAGGACTAGAGATGAGAGCTCATTCCCAGTCTGCTCGGTGCCCAATCAAGTCGCATCTCTCTGGACCTCAGGTTTCTAATCTGTGCAATGGGGATAAATATACTGCTCTCCTTTGTAAAGTACCCTGAGAGCTACAGATTGGAAAAAAGTTCATCAGAGGAACAAGGGACTATTGTTCTCTGTCCTGCAGATAGTGTACGTGTGTGTCTTGGTTTACAAGAGGTCTCTCAGAGATGTTCCCACTGCAGCCCTCCACTCCCACTGGTGGGTTCAATCTGCAGACCCCAGGAAGGGTCCCCCAGACCACCAGGAAGGCAGGAAGGGTAGTTACTTGCGTAGGATGATCTCGGAGGCCCCCTTGCTGTACATGCGGAAGCTGCCGTCCGGGTTCTGCAGCACCGTGCTCATGGATTTGCGCACCGAGTTGAAGGTGTAGACCTTGTAGAGCTTCTCCTCGGGCACCTCGTTCCGCACCGCCTGGTAGTCTTGCTTCAAATCCAGGACGAAGCCCAGCAGGGCGCACTCCGTCTTGTTCCCCACTTGCCGTGGGAGGCCCCCTTCCTTTTCTGGGGGCTAAAAAGTTCCCGGAGCGGGGAGAATGGGGGAGGGGATAAAAAAAACAGTCAATCAAACCTTCCCAGCCAGGCCCACTGTGGTTGGGGATGCGGGGGGAAAGCTGTCAGAAATTCTCTCTGCAAGGATATAACCGAGGTTGAGTTTTTTAGCTTGTGGCCGGAGTCAATACACCAAAACGAATGGGGGTGGTTTCCAGTCCGTCGAGCTAGGGCGCCAGCGGGTGCCCATCCACACAGCGCCACTGTGGTCAGCCCCAGCGGACAACCAGGCCCGTTGTTTCAGCCCCTCACTGCCCAGGTCGGCCCATCGAGGCCTCGGTGTAAAGGGCCACGCGAGGGGATGGAAAGGACCACTGTGATCAGCTCATCCGAACTCCTGCCTCCCGCAGGGACTTCCCCGAATTCATTCCTGTTTGAACTAGAGCCTGGGGTCAGCTGTGCAGGAGGCGGGGGATCCTTTTCTGGGTCGGGGGCTGCACGCAAGTCAGAAGCAAAAAAGAAAAACCAGCCCCGCACTGACGTGGGCCCTGACTGAGAAGGAGAAAGGCACTCTCCACGTTCCCCTCACACACCAGAGTTTAGGGGTGGGGAGGCTAGTAGATTTTGTGTGCTCCAGCCTCATGGTGGGGGGGGAGGGGGGGCTGGA